GGGGGGGGGCGGGGGCGCAGATGGCCTGCTGCAAAATTCCGTCCCGTCCGCTGCTTTGGGGAAAAGTGGTTCTCAGAACATCCATACGTTCAGACCCTCCAACCCAGATCGTCAATTCACAGAAGACAATGAGTCAGAATAAGCCATGGCCCAGTTGCTCAGCTAACTCCTGGAGCTGTGCTGGAAAAAGATTGATTTGACAAACTGTCGGCAGCATGTTGCAGCCCAAGCAACAGACACGTTAAGAAAAGGTGGCAGTGGTCATTACAGAAAAGCGCACACCGCTCTTGGTGATTCAGGTGGAGAATCAGGTATACATGAAAGCTAAAGCAACTTTGGGTACTGGAAAGTCCAGATGTCCCCAGCTGGTATCTTCTAGATATACTTGGACTTGAACTCTGAGAATCCCAGCCAGCATGGCTGATGCCTCATTGGGAATATAGCATGCTTTTCAAAACTTAGGGTCTTATTCCTGGATATTTAGAAGCAAGACCCCCTTGACTTCAGGACCGAGGAACTTTCTACAGCAATCATAATTAACTACCATTTGATCAAAACTGTTAACCTCAATTTTCCCCTAAAAAGGTCACCTCCCAATTTAGCAACTCCAGCAGTTAGGAGTGTTGACTGGAGGGAAACACACACCCAACTGGGGGGTGGGGGGTGAATCTCCACAATATTAGGAATATACTAGCATTTTTCACTTATGAGCAGGTCTCCATTTCTGATGTCCTCCAAGCGTGGATCAGTTGTTCTGATACATACACTCATGTCCCCTTGAATGACTAGCCACAGGAGGTAACCCCTGTCATTTGCAAAATCAATTATTCTGGACCAGGAGGCATCCATAATCTGAGAAGTAGGTTCCATCCATGCTGAATATGAATATATATATATATACATATAAAAAGTCCATATGCATAGACACCTCTTCTTGGCAATAAATAACTTTGCCCAATGCGGCATTGGCCAGGATCAGATCCAGAAACGTGCCTTCAGTCCATCTTCAGGTTCAGAGTGTCATCCCGACATCAAGAAAGTCCAAACTGAAGAGTAAACAAGGTTCTCCCTTGGTACGTGCCATCTTTGGAAGAGTCTTTGGGTTTCTGGGTTCCCAGGAAGGCATCCAAAAAGTCTTTTTAAGGGAGGGGATGCCTGATCCACCTTTTCCAAGGTTAGACATAAGCATTCTTACCATACTTGCCCGTACTGCTAGCGTTGGAGTCTCTGCGGGGACGAGAGACTGTGGTGTTGGGAGCCGACATGCCACTCTTGGGTGCCTTGTATGGATATATGTAGCTGGTAAGAGCAGAACAGGGAGATGTCAGTGTTTGGATTCAATAAGCTTTCAGCAAAGTATTTGGCACTTCGGCCCTGTTCTCACCTGTTGTCCTGGGATGAGTTTGTCCGACACGAACTGAACAGAAAACAACCTCCTATGATCACCAGCAAGGAAGCACTCCAGCCTAGATAGAGGGCAGGTCCAATTTCATATCTGAGTAAGCAAAGAAGAGTGATCGGTTGGGTGGCTGGCTGATGGATGCATTGATATTTTCACTTTTCTCTGAGACTGGAGATATGGGAGGGGTTGTTTCCCCTAATTTCATCCCTCCCTATAAGGAAGAGTGGGATGAGTCAGAAGGACTGGCTCAAGTCACCCGGTGGGCAACATCTTTAAGTAAGAACGTAATCTGGGTCTCTTGGGTCCAAAGTCAACACCTTAATTATTCTATCCCATCAGAAAAATGTCCCAAAGATTTGCTTCAACCCTCTGAATTAGAAGCAAGAAATTGTTAAAATCCCTTACTTTGGGCTCTTTAAGATACAAAAAAAGTCCTTGGTGGATTCTCTAAGATACAAGAATGGGTGACAAGGGATGCTACATAACCAGCCTGCATTGTTATGTTAAAACAAAGAGGTGGAATGGCCTATTTTCCAACATCTAGCGTCCTTTTGTTTTCCCACCACTCACTGTTCCATTGTAAAAACAGAAGTTGTCAACTTTCCTTACACGGAAGATCTGTCTGCCACCTCAATACCTCAGAACTTACCCCCAGAAAAGCAAACCAGTGTAAGGGTTGAGAAATTGAACAAAAGCAGCCTGTGCTAATCTTACTATTTGTGGAATATATATCCTACTTTCTTCCAAGGAGCCCAGTGCAGTGTAAACGGTCCATCCTGCCACTTTCTTTTTTTCAACCTTTGAGTCAGGCTACTCAGAAAAAGAATATAGATCCATGCTTTAGAGACTTACTTTATTCCAGCATAGAGCGGGTTAAAAAAGTCACGGGTGATATTGAAGGCATACCACGAAATGGTCACCATCCCACACAGGCCTGAACAGAAAGAAGAATATTTAGGGTGAGAAACAGCTTTGGGGACCCTGTTAGCTTGAGAGGATTTGCTTTTTAGAAACTCAGATAGCTGCAGGGCCAAGGGAGAAGGACAATGCCTTCACTGGGGAGAAGAGTTGCAAATGTGAGATGTGAGGCTGTACTACTTGAATCAAGAAATAAAGAGCCATCAGAAGTGTTGTGGCAACGAGAGAACACACAAAATCCACGTCTCCCATGAGCAATGGCTAAATGTTTCTCCTCGATGTTTTGTTTTTTTGCTTTTTTGTTTTTTTAAGTAGAAACATTAGTTGAACATCCTTGCACCCAGCTTGCAAAGCTGGTAGTAGAAACAATCACTAATCTCACTCAATTTACTTAACCTTTTTAACTGTGGATGTCACCAGGAAGTGATGGTGTGTTTTGTGTACATGGTCATCCGCTCCTCATGTTGATGATTTTCCACTGATTCCCATACCATTCGGAAACACATATATGGAACGTATACTGAATTCAAGCTCTAGGCAGCTTACATGGAGATCTCCCCACAGCAAGAACCCTGTGATGTAGATTGAGGTAGATTTCCATGACCGAAGATGGATTTGAACCTGGGTCTCCCTCCTCCTAGTCCAGCCCCTTAACCACTACACTACACTGGCTATGAAGGGTGGTTCTTCAGCAAATAGAACAAATGACTATTGGAGGAGCTGGGTGGGAACACCCCAACAACTGTTACGGAGTCAGCAAGATTCGAACCTGGGTGAGGAAAACCCAGTGGATTTCTAGCCATCGCTTTAATCCCTCAGCTACAAGTATTGCACTGATATCATTGAGTTCCTGGTAGACTAAGACCAGCCATGGAAGCGTTGCCATCCCTGTAAATGAGTGTGCCATCCCTGTAAATGAGTGTGCCCTGCTTTCTGTGATGTCAGCGCAGCGCTAAGTCTAACTGGCGCATGGCATTGTGACATCACAATGTGAGCCTTGTTCTCTGCCAAACATAGACTAGACCTGAGTAGAGAAGGAAACTAATACACCTTCCCACAATCGAGCAGACAACCTCTCAGCTTACCATGTTGTGTGAGTCCAAGAAAAGCAAGGTAGGAGACAGGAACCCAACCCATTGGCCAGCTTGGGGACAAGCCAAGCATATCAACCCAGAAGAGGGCAAGTGTGAACCACTCCTGTATTGTGGCCAAGGAAACTACGTGGATGAGAATTATCAGGAATTCAGCTCAACTCAAAAGGAAGACCAGTCCCAGCATCAGGCAATCTCAGCTGATCTCAAAAAGCTGAACAGAGTTGAACCTGGTTAGTACCTGGATGGGAGACCACCAGGAACTCCTGAGAGTGAAGGCTAGCCTGGGAAGCATCCCAGAGAAAAACACACCACTTGTACATTACTGCCGAGAAAACTCCAAGGACGTGCGTCAAGTCACCAGGAGTCCAGCAGGAGTCTCATAGGAGACTTAACTTTTTAATCCCAATTCCCCAGCAAACGTATCTCAAACATCCTGTTTCTTTGGGCTGGGGGCAGAAGAGCAGAAGGCAAGTACTTTCGTAATCCCACCCAATGAGAACAGCCAGCGAGACAAACGCAGGAGAAAATTCCGCCCCAGCTTACCGGCCAGGATGAACAAGCAGCCCCCAACAACTGCCATCTTGGCCTTTGCGTTGGGGTTATTTTCAGCCACTTTGGTGCACTGTAAACCCAACATGCTGCTCAGGATCCCTAAGAAACCCAGGACCAATGCACTGATCATGAGGGCCCGCGAAGCTTGCAGATATGCTGGAGGGGAGAAAAAAAGGAGAATGGTGAGTGCAGCTGCTTCCCATGACTTTTTTATGTCTGTCTGTCTGTCTGTCTAATTATCTATCTATCTATCTATCTATCTATCTATCTATCTATCTATCTATCTATCTATCCATATGCAAAAGATGAAAGAGAGGAAGGAATGCACGCAGGCTTAACATACCTACTATACATGATTTTATATACTAATCAAAACTAGGGTTACATGAATATTTATTCATAATTAAATGGTTAAGATTTAAACCAGTGTATCTCAACTTTGGCAACGTTAAGGTGTGTGGACTTCAACTCCCAGAATTCCCCAGCCAGCATGCTGTATGTGTGTGTGTATGTGTGTGTGTGTGTGTGTGTATACACACATACACACACACATACATACATACACACACACACATTGTATAGATTATGGTATAACTGATTATGCTAAATAATTAAAAGATTATACTATATAGTAGTATACACACACACACAAACACACACCATTATAGATTATGGTATAACTGAAAGATAATTACACTTTCAAGCAACAGGTGATCTACATCACTTGGCTGACTCAACCATTCAGCCGACTGCATCAGACGCTGAAACAAATTATCATTTATACATCAGGATGGCTGGATGGTTTTAGACTAAACCAAACCAAACCAGCCCCGTCAGGGTTTACAGGTAGTCCTCACTTAACGACCACATTAGGGACAGGAAAATTGGTTGTTAAGTGGGGTGGTCATTAAGTGAGTCACCACGTGACTGGCCCCAATTTTACGACCATTTTTAGATGGTCTTTAAGCAAATCATGTGGTCGTTAAGTGAATCCAACTTCCCCAATGGACTTTTTGCTGGAATTTGCTTAGCAACCACGTGATTCGTTTAACAACTGTTGTAAAAAAGATTGCAAATCACAATCACATGACCGCGGGGGTGGTGCAACAGTTTGCGACTGTGATGGAATGGAATTATGAAGGCCAGACTCAGGGAGGGAAACATCCTCTTTCGTCTCCTGGGGGGCGAGGAAGAGATAAGAGGATGAGGCTGGCACCTCC